TGTTAAGTAAGGAAAAATCATTGCCTAAGATGATGATGGAGATCTGAGAGCTAAGTCAGGATTTAATGTGAAAATAGGATCCTTAGTTTCTGAAGAACTGAGTACTCCACTTTCTAGCAGTGCCTACCTGTACATGTGTAAGTATTGGCTCCTGAAAGTGGCAAATGTTTATAGAGATAACAACATCTTACTAAAGACAAAATTGTTGCCTAGCTATTTAATTGCTTAAAACAATAAAATAGGTAATTAAAAGATTGATAGTTTGAATATAAAAATAGTAATATTTAAGAGTCAGAAAATAAAAGAGTCTTTGCAAGGGCTGTGGGAGACCAGATGACTCAAGGGAAGAAGACGCAAGAATTAAGTTCTGAACATTCTGTGACTATGAGAAACATCTGTGACATAACATCTCCATAACGCCCTGGTAATAGGGTATGGGGAAGGGATTCAGCTCTTCTTAACACAAGAGCACAAGCATTATTGCTTGGCAGTCTCCACACCTGTGGTGCAAATACCCATGAGATCGCTTCTATAAGTAGCTGCAGGAGAGGTTAGTACAGATTTATTCATTCATTCTCTCACAGACTAACTCTTTTGCTCCTCCTACTCAGAGGACGCCTGTTCGGTGCCCTTCTATGAAGACTGCTAAGATTTGCACTCCTACTAAGACTGTTTCTCTCCCTCAAAGACTTTCTCTCTCTCTTTCTCTCTCTCTCTCTCTCCTACTAAGATGAGTTGCCCTCGAGCACCTAAGGGGAGTTGATCCTGAGAGCGAGGTAGCACAGCGGTCCATGTCTGGGCAGTTAGATAGGCCGGGGCCAGAGACCTGGCCAGTCCTGGCCTGGACAAAGAGTAATTAGAACTACTTCTCTCTATATGTCTATGTGTGTATATATCATTTGTATGTGGTATTTTACTGCCAAATTACATGAAAAGTGCTCTAACTAATTGGCTTAAAATAATAGGCACTTAAATAAAATTTTATCAAGAAGATAGAAACTAATTGAAATGGTTTTTCATTCACGTGACTTTAAGAATACAGTAATTGACTTCTGGTCAACTTTTTGATTCTGTTACACTTCGATTCACAATTTCTCTTTAACTATTACTTAATGTAAATCTGAATACCTCAGCAATACTGTGAATCTCTTTCAATATTCTCTCATTCTCTGAACCGATTTAGACTTTATAACCTTTACCCAGTGATCTGCTCTTATTCAATACATTAATAATCTTCTCTGTAAACAGGGCACTCTCTTAGACTTGTTCTTTTAAAGTCTCTAGCTAAATGAGGCCACAATGCCTCTAGGTCTGTTGGTTGGGACAAATATCTTAAGGTACTCAAAAGCTTACCCCAAAATGCCTTAAGTCAAATTCATTATAACCCTCACTAGACCTTGCACATTGGCGAGAGGAAAAGCTGCCGCTATTTACACAGACTCCAAATACACCTTTGGAGTCTGCCATGCAGTGGGCACAATTCAAAACTCTCATTTCTTTTTTTTTTTTTTCCTTTTTTTTCTTGAGACAAAGCCTCAAGCTACCACCTTGGGTAGAGTGCTGTGGTATCACAGCTCACAACAACCTCCAACTCCTGGGCTTAAGTGATTCTCTTGCCTCAGCCTCCCAAGTAGCTGGGACTACAGGCACGTGCCACAATGCCAAGCTATTTTTCGATTGTAGTTGTCATTGTTTGGCAGGCTCAGGCCAGATTCATACCCGCCAGCTCTGGTGTATGTGGTTGGTGCCTTAGCAGCTTGAGCTACAGGTGCCACCCTAAAACTCTCTTTTCCTTTTTTTCAAGGTTTTTGGCCAAGGCTGGGTTTGAACCCACCATCTTCGGCATATGGGGCCAGCATACTACTCCTTTGAACTACAGGCACCACCCAAAACTTTCATTTCTTAATGTCTGCTGACACTCCTGTTGAAAATAGACCTGTAATATTAAGTAGATTGTATATTGGGCCAAATAGCATCCCTGTGGCCCCTTTTTCTTTGATATTTTTGTCTTGTATTTGTGTCCTATCATATGTGACATATATGCAAATGGAGGATAATTAAGAAAAAAATATGTAGTTGGTTTTGTCCTGGTACCTACAATATCTCTGACCAAATTATTTCCCAATGCATTGTTTGTAAATCTCATCAAATCTCTGGAGAAAACCAGCCCTCAAAGGCCTACACTATCTCCTTTTGGCACTCCAAATTGATTTTACAGATTTACGTCCATATTAAGGCTTTTCTCAATGTGTGGTTATTTATATGATTAGTGGATAGAGTGACTGTTATTTAACTAGATATGCGGATGCTCCAACAGTGGTGAAGAAAGTAGTAACTGAGATTATCTCATGCCTTTGTATTCCTTTATGGATTGAGTCAGAACAGGGGATTTATTTTCACTTTCTCACAAAGGCACTGGAGTACTTATTTAAATTTCTGCCATTTTAAATATCCCATGTCATCCCCATTCCTCAGGCCAAGTAGAATGTATAAATCTAGAAGTGAAAATGATTTTGAAAAAGTATGGCAAGACCATGGATGTAAATGGCCAGAAGCATTACCTTTGGCCCTTCTAAAACTGAAATCCTCCAATGAGGAGACATGGTTTAACCCCTTTGGGAACAGTGTTCTGCCACCCCATGCCTACTAAGACTTATAAACTTTCTCTTCTAGAGAGGTTTCCTGATTGAACACTGTGAGTATTTAAGTGAACAATTCAATACTATGACTAGCCACACAGAGATGATAACTAATATGCTAGGAGCCCATCATCAATGGGTGAGAAGAGCATGGGTTATGCCCACTAACCAGGCTTGTCATCCTGT